ACTTGCGGGCATGCAACCATCCGACATTCCCGGACCCTATAGTTCCGTATTTTGAAAATTATCCTTTATATGGTCATAAAGCCTTACAGTTTTCAACTTGAATTCAAATTGTTAATATTTTAGCAATGGAACAAGTAAGAACAACAGACAGAGACAATAAAGTTGAGAAATTAATCAAAGATTTATCTAGTCTATAAACCCACGAAGTATTTATAATCCTTGCTCCGTAGGGCTAGGTTTTTGAATTAAAAAAATGGCATTACAATCCAAGTGTAAATGAAGCATTTAGTTCTATTGAGCATATATAATGATGTGTTCATAAAATCAAGCTATATGCTGGAAACTCCTAAAGCTTTAAGTACGTTATGCTTTATAATAAAGCACGTAAAAATTTTTAAAGATATAGCAATGGACAATCAGCAGGAAACACAAATAAATAATTATAAGTAGGAACCTCAGAGACTATACACTTGACATTTATGATGATATAGTTCAGTCTTAGTTGAAAAATTAAGAGTTAAAGATCAATTGCTTATTAACTTTATTAGCTATATTATTTATATTGCTAATTATTAAAGTATTCAAGGTGAATATTAAAATGGGATTATATAGATTCTCTAAAAATTTAGCGTTTTTTGAACCAGTTAGTTCTGTACATATAAGTAAAATAGGACTTAAGTTGAAAGAGATAAAACCAAATAGCTCGGAAAAAGAATATTCTTCTTTCTTAAAATGATTTGTAGGATTTTCCGACGCCTCCCAAAAATCTGTCGTAGTATTTGGTAAAAACTTAACATCGACAGTAGGTATGAGATTTTCTAGGACTGAGTTAGCAATGGTGGAACTTGCTCCTTATCAACATAGTGTAATAATAGGATTACTTTTATCTGATGGGTGATTAACTTTTGCTTCTAAAACCACTAAGAATGCTAGGTTGGGGTTTCAACAATCTCTGTATAAATCTGCTTATACTTTATTTGTATTTTCTCTTTTATCTCATTATTGTTCGACTAGTCCTAAATTAAGAAGCGCTATAAGAGTAGGAAGTCGTAATTACAGTTTACAATTCTTTACTCGATCAATGCCTTGCCTAACTAAATTACATTCTCTCTTTTATCCTAATGGAATTAAAATAATTCCACTTAACATTTATGAACTATTAACACCAGTAGCTTTGGCTCATCTTATTATGGGGGATGGTTACTACTTAAGTAAAGGTATAGCTATTTGTACTGATTCTTACACTATCAAAGATACAATTAATTTACTAAACGCCTTAATTATACGTTATGGTTTAAATTGTACTTTACATAATATTAGAGCCAACCAATATCGGATATATATTTCCAGAAAATCAATAGAAAACCTGATAATAATTGTTAAGCCTCATATGATACCAAGTATGTACTATAAGATTGGTTTATAATATCATCAAGAACATTAAATGCTGACGATAAAACAATAAAAAGATATATAATTAGCAATAAACTTTTTTTTTAGGTAGATATATAATAAATAAAAAAAAATTAAGAAATAATATAATAATAAAGATTTGACCTATAGAAATATATTTTTAGGTCCTCCGTGGCCTTCTAGGTTTAAAATCAACAAGTAATACATGTAATAGATACTTAGATACAAATAGATTATATAAATCAAAATATATTTTTACATCTAACCCTTTATCATCTACCAAAGGATAAAGATGTAAACTCTAAATGGTCGTCCAATAGAGAAGGCAATTTTTTAGGATAGGATCATGAGGGACGTTAACAATGGTTGATTAATTCGTTATTTACATTCTAACACTGCTTCCGCTTTCTTTTTCTTAGTTTATCTGCACAGTGCGACAAGAAGTCGATAATTATAATGAGGTGAAATCCCTCCTCGAATGGCCTTTCGTGTCTCTACCCAGACATGCGTTAGAAGTAATTCCAAGGTGTGAAGCTCTGGGGACAATGCTTAATTAGTTAGAGAAAAAAGCTAAGGTAAGCGAAAGCGAAGATATGTTTTTACAATCCGTATTTAAAAGCTTATTTAATTTATTCTACCAGAATCTAGCTTCATCATCTATTGGTCATGAAGATGAAATATTGAAGGCTAGTGGTAATTTTTTAAAGCTTGCAGCAAGAGTGTGAGGTGTTTGTGCAACCGAAGCCGGGTCTCCCTAAATTATTGTGGGCGTGTGCTACTGCTCGCCAAAATCTTCCTTTTTTTAGAACAAAGTTGAAAATACAATAATAAGGAAAATGCTACGGATTAGAGTATCTACCTAAGGTTTAAATAAGTTAGTATAATTATCGGAACTTGGTAAGCCCAATTATTACCTATGTAAGTGTTTCTTAGCCCTGGAGTTTTAGGTCTATAGAAAATAAAATTCTTATGTTAGGAGGTAGAATATAAGTATGATAAATACGAAGTTTGTATATCAATAAGTGGGTATGAGACAATCGAAAAAGCAAAAGCCATTTAGTAATAGAATGGATAGGGACTATGTCCTACTTCGAAAGAAGGCAGACTTCGATATGGGTGATAAAAAAAAACTAGAGTAAATTTAGAAAGTTTTAGTTAAATACTAAATTTATATTCAAAACAAAAAAGGGTAATAAACAGCTTTATGACTTACACTCAAAGTTTGATATTGCTTGAGCCGTGTGCCGGGAAACTCGCTTGCACGATTCTTAACGGGGGAAAACTTGTAAAAGTCTACCTATCGTAATCGAATTTAAGTTATTTTATGTTAAGTTATTTATTAGACTTATTATCATTAAGCGAATTATCTTTATATTACTCTCTATGTTTAAGTATAGGTCTCCTAAGTAAAGAATCAAAGATTAACCCTTCAAAAAAAGGGTTTGTAAAATTAAACGGTAAAAAAGAACTAATAACTAAGTATGAATTAGAGACTCTTATATCTGAATTTAAACAAAAAGCTAAAGACACTTATGATTATAAGAAGTTATCTCCTAGTTATTTGTTAATATTGCGTTCTTTTATAAATGGAGTTTTCCAAGCTGAAGGTTCTTGATCTGGACAATTTAATTCTAAATCAAGTTACAAATTTAATCCTAAATTTTCAATCGGTCAGAATGCAAGCACTGAAAGCTTACAATTTTTTAGTATGGTGTGGGCAATATTAGGTTGTAATTTGGTCTGAAATATATCAAAAACTCAAGCTAACAACTTCCATATACAATTAGTAAGTACTAATAGAGCTTATATAGTATCTACTTTAATTCCTTATTTTTCTTTAACTTATGGAGACAAATTTGCAGGATTATCGAAAATCCTACGCTTAAATGAGCTGGCTAATATGGACACATTAGCAGCAAAAATTGAAAGTGTTCATTTAGCTTATAGCTTATCGCCACTAGGGAAAGACCCCAAAATTTCTTTAAAAGAAAAATTGGGATTTGTTACAGGTAAATCTAAATCTACAACGGATAAATTAATTGCAGCAGTGAATTTTGAATTCCCAAAAAATAGTGTACCTATGAGCTTAACTTTTATTTTAGGATTTTTTTTAGGTGATGGAAGTCTATATATTAGAATACGTGATAATCGCTCTGGGCTTAGATTTATTCCTAAATTTGAAATTAAACAAAGATATACCGACACTAATGCTAATATTATGGAGTTGATTTGTATATTTTTACAAAGTAAAGGAATACAAGCTAATCTAAGATCAAATGCACAATATGTTCTTTGTGTAGTTGAATGAACAGATCATGTATGTAATTATCTTATTCCTTTATTAAAAACACATAAAGAATTATTTTTCTGAAAATCATTCCAACTAAAAATGACTGAACAATTTGGAAAATTAGTTAACTTAGATTGCCGTAATTTATACCATGTAAATTATCTTATTATTAAGACTCTTTATTCAATAGATAACAATAGGGATTTACCTATTGAACATTGATTTAATAGAATAGATGATATATTTAAAAATAAAGCTGTTAAAAATATTTCTGGTGAATTATATATTTCTCCAGCTAATGATAAAGTTAATAAAACAGGTCAAATAGGATGGAGTGTATATCTCCCTGAATTTTTAAATATTAAACCTCGTACTAAATATTTCTTTTTTGCTAGTTATGGTGATAAAGATATTGCTTTAAAAGAAGCAGTATCTTACAGAGACTCCGTAATTAATAATTGATTATTAAACCAAGGTTATAATATCAACCCTTTAGATGAGTCGGAGTAGATAACCGGTTGGATAAAAATTTGCTAATGTTAAACTGTTTTAATTATTTAAAAGCATGAGTATAACTTAAGCATGACCCCCTTTGGGGTTATGTTTGAATATTAACTAAGATTGCTTGAGCCGTATGCTATGAAAGTGGCACGTATGGTTCTAACCGGGGGAAAGCTCGAGAGGGCCTACCTATCGGAATTAGGAAGAGGCTTATATTATGGATCTTATCAAAACCCAAGAACATTAGTATGGGGTATAGGAACAGTAATTTTTATTTTAATGATGGCTGTTAATGTTAAATGGCCTAGTTGGATGTTAGTTAATATTATTAATACAGGGACAATTTTATGTTTAAGTTTACTTCCGTTTGTTAGGGCTAGAACTAGAGCAATACTACGTATAGGACCACATAGTAAAGATGTTTTATCCATTATTGTGTGTGGTATGCTTGGTGATTGGTGAGCTGATGAAATAAAATGTCAAACATTATCTAGTGTAAGATTTAACATTGAACAATCAGTTAGTCACTCAGCATATATTCACAGTCTTAGTTTATTATTATTTGAGTATGGTTATTGCTCTAGTTTTGTACCAAAATTAGTAAAAAAATCTGAAGGGGTTAATGATAAACGAACTGATAAAAGTGTTACAAGATTCAACTATAGATTAACATTGTTTACATATACAAATCTTCATTGAATATATGAAGGGTTTTACCAAAAGATAAATGGTGTTACTGTAAAAAGAGTTCCTGAATGAATAGCTGAGTATATTACACCTGTAGGGTTAGCCCATTGGATATGTCAAGATGGTTCACGTCAAAAAGGACAAGGAATTTTACTATCAACTAATTGTTTTACAAAACTAGATTGCATTTTTTTAGCGAAAATTTTAAAGGATAAATATGGTTTAAAAACTAGTGTTGTTAAAACTGGATATGAAAACCAATGAAAAATTAGTATAAAAAAAGAATCAATGGAACAATTAGTTTCTATTGTATCAAAACACATTGTTCCTAGCATGCAATATAAAATTAAATTATAATTTCCCTGGATCCATTCCGACTGCAATTTTTAATTTCCGAGCTTGCTTCTCTACGGAGGTGAAACAAAACTAAAAAATGTGGTGGAACTGGCTATATAATACTAACAATGTTTAAAGTTCTATCGTATAGAGCATATGCAATATGTATTTAGAAGTATGCTATTATAAATATATAACGATAGAATACCCTGACAGGGGTATTGGGTAATGAAATTTACCTGGCTATATCGGTGTTACGGTCAAAAAGAACTACATATTTAAGACCGTCGGTTGAATACACAATCGCTACAGACTGGGTCACCGGTGGATGTCTGAAAAAACTGATGTCTAATGTACAGTCGGGAGTTCCTCGGGTCTGCCGATACAAGGCTCCATGTGATGAAAACTAGAAATTTACTTAGCGAGTATTGGGATTAGTTTTTTGATGGAGTACACAGGTCCTATCTTGTAGTAAAAAAATGGATAGTAAACCGGAACTTTGACTGCATTTATGGGATACATCCTTCCGTACGGTCAAATGTCCCATTGAGGAGCCGTTGTTATAACTAATCTTTTAAGTGCTATTCCTTGAATAGGGCAGGATTTAGTTGAATTTTTAATAGGAGGATATACAGTAAGTAATTCTACTATAAATAGATTTTTCTCATTACATTATATCTTGCCTTTTATAATTGCTGCTTTAGTTTTAATGCATTTAATCGCTCTTCATGAAAGAGCTGGATCTGGAAATCCTCTTGGAGTTACTGGAAATTGTGATAAATTGGCTTTTGCTCCTTATTTTTTATTTAAAGATTTAGTGACTATTTTTATTTTTATATTAGTATTATCTATTTTTGTATTCTTCCTGCCTAACCATTTAGGAGAAAGTGAAAACTATAATCCAGCAAATCCTATGTCTACTCCAATTTCGATCGTTCCAGAGTGATATCTTTTGGCTTTCTATACTATATTACGCTCGATTCCTTCTAAATTAGGTGGAGTAATTTGTATGTTTGGCGCTATTCTTTTCTTATTAGCTTTACCTTATCTTGATAAATCTAATATACGTGGTATGCAATTTAAACCTTTAATGAAAATTAGTTTTTGAATGTTTGTAGCTAACTTCTTAGTACTAGTTAAAATTGGGGCTTTACATCCTGAAGAACCTTTAATTACTGTGGGTCAAATTTCAACTTTCTTTTACTTTGCTTGGTTCCTTATAGCTATTCCTAGTATTGTGTATACAGAAAATACGCTTTTCAGATTGAACGGCTCCAAAGCCAGGAAATAAATTAGTTGGATTTATTCCCCCTTTTTTTGAGGGAAAAGTAAACTTAACCTCTTTGCCAAATACTATTCCATTTGTAAAATTTAAACCTTGTAATTCTTTATTTTCTCTCCCTCTTTTTTCAAAGCGCGCTCTGCATTCTGTTTCTTTTCTCAAAACCTGTATTGATCTTAATAAAGATGTTAATTTGACAGTAGTTCCTGTTAAGGTCTATGATTGCATAATAGGAAATATTCTAAAAAAACAAATTTATAAAGAAAATGAGGGTAAATCTGGAATTTACCGTTTTATAAATAATGAAAACGGTAAAGAATATGTTGGTTCAGCTAAAAATCTCAAAGCAAGGTTTTGTCATTATTTTAGCCCTAAAAGTATGCATGCCGATAGAATGCCTATTTGTAAAGCTTTATTAAAATATGGTTATTCGAAATTTAGTTTGCAAATACTTGAATATTGTGACGCAGATTATAGATTTGACAGGGAAAGTTATTATCTTAAACTGTTAAAACCTGTATATAATATTGTTCATGATGCAACTCCTTTTTCAGCTGAAAGTATTCTAGAAATGTCTAAAAATCACCCTAGATCTATCAAGATATATATTACTGATTTGGACACAAATACAACAACTTTCTACAATTCCATTAGACACGCTGCTGATTGTATAGGTGCTAATCGTCGATCTTTTTCAAAACATTTAAATTCTTTCTCTATAAAGCCGTTTTTAGGAAAATATATTCTATATAGATTAAACAAGTCAGGATTAATTTGTAAAATTGAGGTATCTTTAGCTAATATTGAAACTTCTTTATCTAATATTTCAGCTTCTCTAGATAAAGTTAAGGCTTCTTTAGAGAAAATTCCCAAATACAAGATAAAAGTTCAAGATCTTGAAATGAATATTTCAATGTATTTTAGTTCCTATTCACGTTCCTCGCAGACTCTGACGGTGATATAGCCACAT